CTCCCACGAAGTCCTGGGAAGGAAGAGAACTTCCCTCTCACTCATCCACGCAGTTATCTTGCTCCCACATCACACATATGAGTGACCCAAGGATCATTTGAAACCAAGTAAATACCGCACAAGGTGGTGGTTTTGTGATGTGGTTAGTTTTGTCTGTTCACATGGAGAAACCAGGATCAGACTGTACGAGGAAGATGACCTTTGGCGGTAAAAGTGGGGTCCCAGCCACTGCTCAGTGGTCAGCGCTTGTGAATCCAACTGCACCATCCCTACCGGCCCGCCAGCATCCCCTGCCCCCAGAACTTTCCTCCGCCCTCTGCTGTGATATTCAAACTTCATTGGCCCACTTTCAACTTCAGGAAAATTCATTTTCAAGGCAGGAAGATACATGTTTTCCTACAATAACTTTTATCGAATTTTTACAGATAACCCCGGACAACCTCATAGCCTTTCCCCAGTCTGTTCTCATGGCGATACTTTGCCCAGTGTTACTTCACTGAAACAGTTTTCAGATGGATTGACTCCTGGATCTCGCTGACTGATAACCCCAGTTAGATGAAAGTCTTACCTTTCCTCTTTCTTCCCAGAGCCAGCATCACCTGACCAGGGCCTCATTCTGCTACAGCTGATGCTGATGGCAGCGTCTCTAGAACCTGCGGTAGCGAATTTACTAAAGAGAAAGAACGCCTCCCTGCCGACCCTCAGCCAACCGGTCTCACCTCCAGAATCCCTGCTTTCCCAGTTGCAAGCACTCTTCCTCACCTCTGGGCTGGGGCCGCTGAGCTGCTGCCTTGGAAGGACCTTTGATTCATGACCATCTATTTCAGATCCTCACTGGCACCTGATATCAAGCAGGATCAAATAGACCCTGCCCCCAAGACTGCTGTAAACTCACTGGGAATTCACAGAGGAGCTGGAGTTGTCTCGAAGTTCCCAAATAAAAACATTTCTGTATCAGATGCTTCCGCCTGGCTTTCAAGAGACTGGCCACCCTCATTCTTCCCTCTGCTTAGACCCCTGTGGATGTCGCTGGCCCAGAGAGGAGCCCGCTCGACACAGGTGAGGAGAGGAACTCAGATGGCGAGCTCGCTCCTTTTTCCCCAGCTGCCTCAGGTGGGCAGGGCGGCGGGGAAGCCTTGTAGCAGGTTTCTGTTCCCCGGACAGTGACGTGCGCGGCTGCAGCATCTCCGGGATGGCAGCATTGAGCGCAGGTCGGGTGGGCGTTCTCTGGGCCTTATTTTCACATGGAGGACAAAACAGAACAAAACGAACTCTTTGTCTACAGTCTGATTTCCATTATGATGTCATTAATCTAAATTTTACTTCTCCCTGGGACCACGTGGGGAGGCCACTGCTCTTTTGCTGTTATGTGTCCATGATGTCACTGCCACTTCCACGCCCCCAAGAGCGTCCCTAATCAGTCATACAGCCCCTTCCTCG